CAGTTCCCGTTAGGAGTATTCGCCCATGACCATTGTAGAAGTTGCAGAGATGATAAAGAGGAAGAAATATTAGAACTATCCAGTGTAGGAATACAGGCAATCCAATATAGTCAATGAGGTTTCTGCGTTTCACAGTGGTGTCACAATGGATCTGCAGGGTCTAAATGAGTTGATCTTTTGAGCTGACTGCCACATTAATCAGTTTTAAACGCTATATTTCTGGCCGATAGGTCCGCCTGCAAGAGATGCTGCAGGGTGCTGCCGTTGATGTAGTCTTACGCGCTTCTATCATGCCGATCATTGATTTCTATTATTTTCAGAAATTTGTTTTTCCTCGTTGCTGTATACCAAACCAATACCGCAGTAATGACCTTACTATCGCCGTGTAGATCTAGTGAGCAAGAGAAGGCCACAGGTACAGCCCAGCATCTTTTTGTTACATGCATAGAATGCCACTGAGGCCTTCTTCGCGCTCTACTCTCCATTGAGGCGCCATGACTTGCTATCGAATATTATTCCCAGGTATTTGGTGCTTTGCTTCAGTTGGAGGATCACATCATGCAGCTTAGGCGTAGACCATTTCGGAACTTTGTATGACCTAGGCTGGCAGCCAGACAAAAGCACTGACGCCACGCACGGGGCGCAGCTTTTATTAAATATTATCTGGCAACTTAAAAGCATTCCATTCGCTGGCAGACTTTATTAAATGCCGCAAAACCACAGCAGCAGCCAAAGAGTAGTTGCCGCAAATAGGGTGAAAGATTGGAGCTAAAATTGAGCTTCGCAACAGGAGTTGAGCGTGCGTAATTATTTGTGAGTGTAAAAGCATATTTTTAAAAACATTAAACAGCTCATGTGCACGGTTGTCATAGTAACTGCATTCGCGGCATCCAAGTCAAATAGGAGGCCGACCTACACATTTTTGTGTGTAACAGTGGGGTTGCGTTCTTCAGAGACTACCACAATTTTCGCTATTATTTAGATATTTTTTTATTTAATCTCAACTTTATTTACTAGCTGCTGGCATGTACTACTAGCTTTGACTACTACTACTTTTTCAAGCTACTAGTAGTTTCGCATATTTTTTCCCATCTTTATCGTAAACGGCTTCTGCGTTTTTCCGCCTTGCTGTCGCTTTGTTTTGTAAAATATGCGCTCATGTGCCGCGCATTTTAATTGAACCGAATGTGGTAGGGAGCATTGCCAGCAAGCGCAGCAATAGTCCACAGCAACGACAACGACAACAACAACAGCAAAAACTGTCAATATTACAAAAACAATGCGACTAGCGCTCTATAATGGCCCTCACCATAAGTGTGTGTTACATAGTGTTGGGCACGCATACATATGTACATATGCGCCTGTATCCCTATCTCAAAATGCGTGCCACATTGCTATTTTATTAATATGTTGCACTCCGCTTGCGCGCGCGCGTTTGTGTGCGACTTCCATACGTGACAACGCCGCGCTCTGTGGCATTTATACGCTTATTGCCTTTGCATACGAAATAGCAATGCGACTTGACTTCCCTCGCGCCGCGCTTTGCCCTTTATTGCAAAAGTGTCGAACTAAGTATAGAAATGTGTAGAAAATCGCATATTGAAGCATTGAAGTAAGTTTAAATTGATTTAACCTCACGCGCTATTTGCATAAGTTAATGCAGCAAGAAGTTGAATATGAGCCCTCGACATGAAATCGGCGCTGGGAATTTTTAGAACTTTAGCTTAAAGTTGCAACAGAGTAATTATGTGAGTGTGCTTAACATCGTCGATATTAAAGTCGATGTAACCTTTCAATATAGGTATCAATTTTTGTGTTCTTATCGAGAAATTTAACCATATTTGTATTATTATCGATAAATGTGTCGATATTGGTATTGTTATTATCGATAAATTAATCGATATTTTTATGACAAAAGCGACGAAGCGACGAATTTTGAAATTATCATCTTATATTATTGATCTCTTTATCGAAATTTCTCTGGTTATCGATACAATTTTCGATATTTACATCATACAAGTGACGAAGCGACGTATTTTGAAATTAATTACTGATATTTTCGATATTATTATCGAAAACATCATCAATATTTTCACGGATAAATCGACGAGATCGCCATATGTCGAAAAAAATCACTGATTTATCTTATATCCTTATCTATGGATATTGGTATTGTTGTCGATAACTTTATCGACTTTTACGAGAGCAAAGCACAGGCGTGCCATTCGAGAGATCCGAGTTCGGGTTTTGGGAAGCGAATTTTTTTAAATCTACATTTTTGTCTTTTTAAATTTAGCTTTCTTTTAATTTTTAGATTTTATTTTAAAAAGAAAAAAAAAAATTAATTTTATTTAATTTTCTGGAGCTTAATTGATTTTTTTTGGTCTTTTAAATAAGTTTTTTTCTTTTTAATTTGATTTATGCACTTTTAAGGAACTTATTTGATTTTTTTTTTAAATAAATTGTTTTCGTTTAGTATAGTTTTGTCTTAATTTTTAGATTTTATTGTTTTAAAAACAAATCATTTTTTTTGAATTTTTTATTTTATGTATTCCTTCTTTTTTAATTTAATTTTCTTACTGAATTATTATTTTTTATTTTTTAGATAAAAATATATTTTCTTTTGAATTATTACATACTATTTTTTTATTTTTTGATTTACTTCTCATTTTTCTAATTAATTTATTATATTTTATTGTTTTAAAAAGAAAAGCATTTTTTTAAATTAATTATTTTATGTATTCCTTCTTTTTTAATTTAATTTTCTTACTGAATTATTATTTTGTATTTTTTATATAAAAATATATATTTTTTTGAATTATTACATACTATTTTTTAATTTTTTTATTTACTTCTCATTTTTCTAATTAATTTATTAGATTTTATTGTTTTAAAAAGAAAACAATATTTTTTAAATTTCATTTAATTTTTAAAAATATTTCTTATTTATTTTTGCTTAATATTCATTTTCTTTTTGTTTGTTTTCTTAATTTAATGGTTTTTTATTTATCAATTTTTATTGTTTTAAAAATAAAAACATGTATATTTTTTGAATTTAATTTAATAAAGGCGATAAACATAACGCTAAGACCTATTCGTTGTGCAGATCTTTCAATTAGTCTTTCGAAACACAGTAAAGAGCTTTCAAGATAGTTTGCGAATTGATAACGAAAGACTTTTATTTCGAAAGACTGTAGTGAGTTGAAAGGCAGTTGCCAGAATTGATCTGTTACAGTTAAAATGTAAAACCAATATCTATCCATTCAAGACTTTGTAGTATGTTGAATTTTGTATACAGAATTTAATATTCTACCCCGCCAGGTTCATAACCTTCCGTGAACACAAAGTTTTTTCCATTAGCACTGACAATTCTGTATGATCCTGCTGATATCGTTGTAGTTGTACGCCTACCCTTAACCAGTTGGTTTGGCGAGATGTGCTGCAACGATGACCATTGATCGGTCTTTCTCAGGCCGTTTTATTAACGTAAAATCGACCATTCGGAGAACATTGATCTTCCCTTCCCGTCGGTTAAATCACCAAACATGTCAATTGCTTTTTTACACGACGTCTACGTCCTTCTCAACCAGACTCCTAGTAGGGATCTCCGGCGCACCAACCGGGCAGGGTTCGTGATAGCGTGGATGATGTTCTCTTCCTGAGAATGAAATCAGAAATCACCTCAGTTTTTTTTTAACCAATCAGTCGAGAGCTGCATGGAAGACTGAAACCAGGCAGCTGCTAGGCACACTAAACGTTCCCCGACAGTCGTGTCTTCGTAACCGAAACGACCCACATACATATCTGACTAAGCCCTATCTTTGTTGAATTTATGAACTGCGACAACAACAAAAAGGCACCCTAAAATGATGGAGTGGAAGCGGTAATCTTGAGAACGCCCATCTCTTGCTCCTATTGCTACCTCTTGGTGGTGAAATAATCAGACACGTGGAATATCTTTACTACGATGTCATTCTATTTCTTGATTGGACGGAAAGTTCGAATCTACGTTTAGACTTGACCGTTCTGCTTCAAAGCAAGTTGATTACGTCAGGTCGACGCTTAGGGATGGAGGCCTTTACCGCCGTCGCGCTCGTTTGCCACCAAGAAGGAAATGGCAGCTGGAGATCCAATGTGTTTTCAAATTTAGACAGCTCTGATTGAGTTCACTGAGAAGAAGCGCATTACTCAAAGAAATCATGACTTCTAGCTTTGGCCTAAATGGCCTTCAAAATGTGAAACTACACGCCAACAGTGACAAGCGCTTTAAGAAGGACTACTAATTGTATGGCTGTTCGGCAGTTGGACGCTTTTCTCTTCAGTGTGAAAGCTTCAACTGAAATTCTTCCAGAGCCAATAATTTTCACATCTTCTTGGTCTACGCGCGAAGAATAATTAAGATTCTGAAGTCTCGCTAGAATAAAAATAAAAGCCCTCAGTACAAACGAAGCGGATTTGGAATACTGACTAACCTGGATAGTCGTCAAGAATTACACGAAACATTGAGTGTAGGGCGTCTCCGCAAAACGACGGAAATTTCAAAAGAAAAATTGGCAAATATTGGAAAATGTGTGTGTGTTCTTTCCGTAGCCAGCATTTTTGCCAATATTGTAAGTCCTACTAACTTAACAGTTGCGGTAGGCAACGGAAATGGCTTTGCAATGCTTTGCAATGTATTTTTGCTTGCAACAAATATTTGTAATGCAAATAAGGAGCGACTAGTTTTGAATGCGTAATGAAGGGGGATATGCTTATCTCTAGACTGCCGGGAGTCGACTTTGTGTCTCTTAAAGCAGCTCATTTCGAATTCCGACAGCGCGATTTCCTATCGCGCAGACGTAAACGACAGTGGTTTAGCGACCGGAAGACATGACTTTGTGAAAGGAATAACAATTACTCCGATATTACTCAAGCTAATTTTTATAGCATGCTATATTTTCTAGCAACTTACTACAAGTTAACTTTCCTAACCACTAGTTTTTTTCTCTTTCTCTTTGCAGTCTCGCGATGTTCCGCATAAGTTTCGCAAATATTTAACCGCGCCTTCCGAAGTAAACTTAAAACAATTCGGTTAATCGCAATCGGCGTCGCGCTCGCGTTCGCGCTCACAAATGTCTGACGAAGTGCCTTCGGGGCGCTTATCGCAAATCTTCAACTCGCTCACCAATCTCCAGCAGCAACAGCAACAAGCGCGCCGCGGCTCCGCCTCTTCATCATCGCCTTCGCCCGCCGATTCGGGGCGCGCCACACCCGCGACCGCTGCCAACGTTAGCGCACAGCCATTTGCCTTTCATCATCAACATTTCAGCAATCACGCGCATGCTTACTATGCGCGCGCGCAGGATGGCAACGCTTATTTGCATACCTTCCCGGCGGCGGCGGCGACGCAAGCGCATCATCATCAACAGCACTTGCATCACATGCATGCGGCGGCGCATTACTACGTACAACAGCAAACGCATGCACAACAGTTACAGCAACAGCAAGTATATAGCGGCGCGCAGCAGCAAATGTCGCTGCCGCCCATGTACGCCTCACAGTCGCTGACCTCTTCGCCTTTGCTCACCAAGCGCGCCACTTCATTTAGCGGTAATATACCGCTTGCGCGTCCGCAATGTGAAAATTTGGCGGCGATGCGCATCTCGGCGGCGACCGGTGCGGGCTCTGGTTCTAGTGGTAGTGGCGTCTCGCAGTCGACGCCTAATAGTCCGCGACTAATGCCGCGGCGCGCTCAACGGCCACCACCTATACCGGCAAAGCCTAGTGTGGCAACGCTGCAGGGTGCAAACGCGAGCGGCTGTAGTGGCGCTGCGCCAGTCGCCAGCAATAGTGGTGCTGTATCAAAAAAATCTGCCGCCAGTGGTGCCGATCGCCCGGAGAAGATGGACGTGTGCGCTGGCCAAACGTCTACCGCCGCCGCGCCTGTCAATCCTGGCTTAGCCGCGCTGGATACTGACGCGCCTTGGCCGCATTTCTCTACGCTCACCGAACACTTGGACGTGCATCAGGTGAACAACTACGCGCAACCGGTGCCCGAGGTGAGTAGAGCTTCTCTCAATTTTGAAGGAGTATTTACATTGGTCGAGGTTCTGAAAATTATTTAAATTTATGCATCCTGATCTTATTTCGCCTCTCTCTTTTTCTCTTCCAGATCAACTGGCAAGAACGCTGTCTCGAACTTCAACTCGAATTGCATCGCTCTAAAAATCAAGCTGGCCGCATACGTGATATGCTGCGTGAAAAGGTGAGTGCTTTTCTGTGTCAAAACATTTCTAAATTTAAGTCTCATAAATTCTGCGCCTAAAAGTAGACTACGTGCAAAAATTTTATGCTTGAAGTGTCTCTGGAGTTCTTCATAGCCAAAAATGCGCTTGTACGCTGTCACGCATAATCACAATTAAATGCGCTTTTGGGATTAATTCAAACGAGCGAATGGAGAGACACGACCACAACCAGGCGACAGGTCATTGAAAAAAATTTTAAAACAAGAAATCATACTCTACTTGTTTGGGGGGGCAGGCAAAAAGTGGCGACACATAGTCGCAAGGATTAATAGATGGAAATGAGAAAGAATGTGTGAGAATCTATGATTTTGGCAGTGGTTGCTTTGGTGAATGTTGGCATCATCCAAAAATTAAATGTCCTTGATTTTGTTCATCTGTTGTGTGGGGCTGCATATTTCTTTCAATGTTTAGTACGTATGTATGTGTGTATGTGGGAACTTTTGGTGTACCCGTCGTGCTGGTCATTAGTTCGCTATGTCTATTCGAATGTATGTATGTATGCAAGTATGTATATGTGTGTGTGTGTAATGAGTGCTGGTTGTGCTGACAGTTGTCGAGGATTCTTTAATCTTCATCAACGAATGATCTGCACATGCAGAGGCTCATATTCAACCAAATGAATATAGGCAGATTAGAATGTTCACTAGGAGGCGTATGAAATTAAAAACGAAAAATAAAAGCAAAACAGCAGAAAACTTTTTATAATCATCTGGCGTTTAGGCATAGCTAATTAAATAGGTGTAAAGATGAATCTTAAAAATAATCAAACAATGTGGAGATATAAAAAAATTGCTAAATTTTTTAATTGAAGATGCAAACTTTGGTCACATAGATTGCCATTTCCTATACAAAAATTTAAAAAGTTTGATTTCTAAACTTAAAAAATAGGTTTCCAAAAATTAAAAAATATTAAAGTTAGTTAGAAGTTGAAATTTGAGTATTAAAATTTACTTCAGGGAATTTAGAAATTTGGAGATTTTCATAAAATTATAAAATTTTTTAATTTGGAAAAAGAACGGAAATTTGATATGTTCAGAAAGAATAATTTTTTATTTCTAAACTTTTGAGAGCTAAAAATTGAAAAATCCCTTAAACTAATTAAAATTTGATTGGTATAACATTAAAAAATAATATGGAATATAAAATCATTTTTAGAATAGCGTTTTTTTTTTTCTTATTAAGCACGAACCATGAAACTATAGACGGCAAAAGAAAATAACGAATATTTTCTGGCTAAATAGCACAACTTGTTTTCAATGGAATACAAAATTTAATTTCGGAAATCTTGAAATTTGAAATTTTAACAAATAACTGCAAAAAGGGTAGGTATTTAAATATTAAAAAGAAAGTAAATTTAAATTTTTTTGAGAACAGAAATCTTAAAATTAGAAAATTTTACAAATAACTGCAAAAATTGTATTTAAAATTTAAATAAATAAATAAAAACAATTAGATACAAAAAAAAATTGTAAGAAGTAAAAAAGCACGAAAAACTTTTTGTATACATAATAAAAAAAAATTAAGAACAAATTAAAAAAAAATCAAAAATTGCCAGAAATTTTCTGTCTAAAATTTGGATTAAAAAAATTGAGTTTTCGGAAACTATTAAATTAAGAAATTTCAACAAATAACTACGAAAATACAATTGAACTGACTGATTATATAAAATAATATTTCATTCGGTTACAAAAAAGAACAAAAAATTGTTCAGAAGTTTAAAAGATTTAAAAAATGTGGTAGATGGATTAAGTAAAAAGTTAACTAAAAATAGAACACAATACAAAAAAAGGCCTGCTTTCTGGTTAAAATTTGGATAAAAAATTGCTGTTTCGGAAATCTTAAAAGTAGAAGTATCAACAAATGCAGCTGCAAACATTTTATTGAAATTTGACTTTTTTTAATATACTAGATATACATATAAAACGATATTTCTTTTGGTTACAAAAATTTGTTCAGAAGTGTAACATATTTTTTGGTAAAAATTAAAACAAATCAAATAAATTTACCAAAATTTTGTGGCAAAGGTTGCAGTTTACAAAGGAGAACCCCAAATTCGTTTAAATTCGATGTCAGGAATTTTAAAATTTAAAAAACTTCAAAAGATTATACATTTTTTATTTGAAAAGAAAAAACGGAAAGTTGATTTTTAAGTATAAACTGAGTTTCTAATTTACGAGAATTTGAAACGCTTCCCAAATAATCAAAAGTTATTTGGACAGTACTTTCAAAAAGATTAGAAAGTCTAAAAATATTCACAAAATAATCAAATGTTATTTGGAAAGAATTAACAAGAAACAATTTTATAACCATAAAAAATGTCCATATGTGCATTTGTACATTTCCAAAATTCTATGGTTTACGAAGCACAAAATATTTACAAAAATATTCTGAATATTTTTTTGTAGATTGCCTAAATTCTTTGGTTTACGAAGCACAAAATATTTACAAAAATATTTAGAAACAAACAGTTTTCAGAACTTTTTTGCCTAAGATTCCCGTCCATTAAAAAATTAGGGAAATCTCAAAGATATAAACATTTTAATTTATGAAATAATGTGAACAATTTTATTGGAACTATTAATGCAAATAATAGATTTTCTCGTAAAGTGGTGTTTAGGCATTATTCTACGCAAAAATTTGCTTTGCGAGTCAAATATTAATTTTTTTTATAACAATTGCCCTTCGAAAATATGAAAACAATTTATAGCTAAATAATAAATATGAATACTTAAGAAAACAGAAATGATGATTTTGTAAAGTTGAGAAAAGAAGGGATTTCAAAAACAAATTTTTGAATATATTTTTTAATTAGATATTTTTTAGCAGCCTTTTTATAAACATTTATTTCGTGTTTGAAAATAAAATTTTTGAATTAAAAAATTTAAACAAAATTTATGAAAACAAATTCAGAGTCAAATCACAAGTTTTTGAAAAATATTATTTTTTAATAATATCTGTTATATTTTTTGGAAACCTTTTCATAAACATTTACTTAAAAAACTAAAAAAAAATATTTAAAAAAATTCAGACCCATATAACATTAATACTTAAAACAATAATTTTGCAAGTGATGCTTTTGTAAATGTAAGAAAGGGAAAAATTTCGAAAGACCAATTTTTGGAAAATATTGTTTTTAGTAAACTGTTTGGATGCTTTTAATAAAAATTGCTGTAGCAATTTGAATGCAATTGTTGAATTTTTGAAAATTTAAACAAATAATATATTTTTTTGAATTTAAAAATATTTTTTGAGAAACACATTTTTTGAAAAGAAAGTTCTAGAGGTTTAGTTTTTTAAATTTTTTTGTTTAGCAATTCTTATTCGTATTAAAAAATTATTATAAATATAATTTAATTTTCAAATTTGGAAAAAGTGAACTTCAGAAAAAAATGTCTGCAAAAAAGTGATTTTAATTTTTTAATTAATTTTTTTTTTAAGTAAAAAAAACATATTTTAAAAGTTTTTATATATTTTTTTTGAAGTTTGGAAAATCATTGAATTTGAAAAATTTAACATTTGTTTGAAAATTTTAATATTTTTGGGTAGTTATTTATTGGGTTTACTATTGGGTTATTTATTGGTCATTACGAATTATATTCCATAAGACAAGAAAAAAATCTAGGGTGGCTGAAGTTGTGCGACCTTTCTTTGACTCATACAAAAAATTTACTAATTCAAATCCTTCCAAAACTTTTTGTTTTATACATACATACATATTTTTCACTCCATTGTCTAAATATTGCAGGTGCTATCTTTATTAGTTTTTAATATTTTTGAAAGCTATTTAATTAATTTCCTCGTTAATTTGCTTTGCAAACATACTATTAATTTACTCAATAACAAAAATATTCAATCAGCAACTTTTTAATTGCATATTTCACGGCGTAATTTATACATTAACAACCCATTTTGTGTAGCCTTCTTTTTATATTCGCACAACTCTTTCACCCGCACTGAAATCCGCTCATTAGAACCCTCACCGCTGTCACCAAATTTCGAACGTTTCGCGCATACTAATTCATCGCCAAAAATTTAACCCCAATAAAGCTGTCATTAGACACAACAAAGGCAACCCCAATTTTTTCACCGTGGCATAGTATTTGAATTTTTCAATTGCTTAGACATATTTAAGCACTTTTTAATAAGTAAATTTTATGACTAAGCACGCAGACAACACATTTGGGAAAATTGAGGAGAAAAAAAAGTAAATCAATTAATTCAGTTGTCACACGCCAAATGAATGCGAACGAGGTGAATGGGGAGTGTGGTGTGGAATTAAATAGCGGTTATGATTGGAAAATTGATTTTGAAAGGGGTGCGTCTCCGCGCTTACTGATTTCAATTTTAAAATTTAATTCAGAGGCCAAGCAATTCACATATTTTCGCGCTTCTGGTTGACGCTCTAAAAATGAGCTGCTATCTACATTGTTAAAGCAAGCTACAAGCGAACTACATATTTAACTCCACTAATTGGATGCAAAAAATTTCGCACTTGCAGCACAAAAAAAAAGTTGATAAATCTTCTAAAAATCCCGCATCAATAATAATACAATAAAACCGCAAAACGCGCGCACCCAGACACGAACACATAGCCAATTTATCGCGCTCGCGACTCTAGCAATTTGTTAGGCAATAAATAGTTGTGTTGCAACAACAATAATAACAAGAATAGCAAGAACGCAGTGACAATAAAAGTGAAAATGTTTGAAACGGTAGGCAAACAACAACAATAGTATTGATATTGCAACAACATTGTGGGCAGCCAAATTGTAGTATTTGGCAACAATGTTGCGCGCCTGAAAGTATGCAGTAAAATGTCAAGCAATGAAAAGGACAATTGGCAAGATGCCCGGCGCAAAGCTATCGCAAAAATTACTGGAAGCTAGAGAAGTCAGAGAAAGTGTGTTGGAACAAAAGAAGTGTAAAAGGAGAAAGTAAGAGGAGAATGTGAACAGAAGGT